TGTGGCACAGCATGATGATCTGACTCAGCACTTCATTCAGAGTCTTCTGACTGCAGCTCAGACAGTTAGTAAGCCAGTTCAATAAGAACAAACCACAGCTTTTTAATAAACAGCAGATTGCTGAAGAGCACACTGAGAGCTCATCACTCATCAGACAGAGGCTGCGAAGCACCAGTTCAAGAACACAATGCACAAAACCAAGCATGTATACTGAAAGCAGATGATCAATGAAGTCAGAGATAGTAGAGATCTATATCAGATGATGATATGATATAAGCTGAAACTCGACCTCAGAGCACCTCCTTTGATGATTGAAGATCAGATTATAAAAGAGACAGTCATTAAAATTGAAACATTTCAGCAAACAATTCTGAAATGATACAACTCAGTTAATAATCTGAAGTATAACTCACTGAATGATAAGCACTGAAGTGGCATGAAGAACCTGCTCTAAAACCCCCAGATTGAAATGGAGGAGATGGAGTGCAACATGATTGAGATATAGAGCACCTCCCCAGACACAAATGGAATCACAATGCAGATGCTCAAAGCATGCTGGCAGCATGTGTCTCTTTTTATACAGCAATATACAACTGCTGCCTTCGGCTCTGCCACTTCCCGCGAGCCTAGAAACTGGCAGAGATGGCAATGATATTTAAGATAGATAAGAGGAATAGAAGCTCAGTCCACTTCTGAAAGCTCATCACTTTTCTTTCAGTAATCTTCAAAGGGCTGGAACATATCATTGCAAGGCAACTGGTGTACACAGCACTCATTCACAGCATAGTCAGCTCACAGCATTAAGAGGCACTGCTCAGATGATCTGTAATGAATTTGATAGCTGCTTTTATTTATGAGATGAAAGCAGCCTTCACAAAAAACAAGAAAGTGTTCATAATCACAATAAATGTGCAGAGTGCCTTTGATACTATGCTGCACAGACAGCTGCTTCAGCAGATGGCACAGCAAAGGTGGTTATATAAGCTGCTACAGCTCATTGACAATTTCCTCACTGAACACAAAGCTCAGATTCAGCTGAAGAGAATCATTACAGCAGCATATCAGATGCAATGTGGCACATCATAAAAATCTTTTTTATCATCAATATTATTCCTTTTGTATCTGACAGAGCTGCTGTGACAAAACTCAAAATTGCATTTTAATTATATGAATGATCTGAACATCTGATGGGCAACCCATTCACTTGACAACAATACCATCCTTCTCAGTTAGAATATACATAGTATTCTGAGATGAGAGGAGATAAACAAAATGGTCTTCATATCAGAGAAACTTGAGATGATCCATCTTATAAGAAAGTAATATAATGAAGTATCAGCAATAATTGTGTCTGAGAATCTCACTGTTCACTCTATTACTGCCACCACTGAACAGAAGTCAGCACTTTGTTGATTGAATATACACTTCAATAAAAGACTCATTTGAAAATCATATATCTTCACTCAGACAAAGAAGGCAAGAGCTGTAGCTCAGCACATTCAGAGTCTGAAAAAAATCAGAGATAAATTCTCAGCAAATACTCTGCAGAAAGTGATCATCATCTACATGATTTTCTCA